GGGCCCCGCCCTGGCCCCAGGGGTTGGGGTAGGAATCCCAATTTTACAATTTTGAAGCCTCATCTACCAAGGATGATTCTGACCAAGTTTGAAAAAAATCCATCCACTGGTTCTTGAGAAGAAGTTGAAAATGTAAAAGTTTACGCACGACGCACGACGGACGACGACGGACGAAAAGCGATTAGAATAGGTCACTTGAGCAAAGCTCAGGTGACCTAAAAAAGGGAATGTTGATCACCGCCATTACTCCAAAGTTAGTCTATTGATGGTATTGACCTGATTTCAAGCCGTCACATTGCCCTATATAATAAACCTATAAAATAAAGTGAGAAGAAACAATGCACCTATTAAAATCACACTACATACAGTGTCTATGCTTTCATATTTGTTCATGCAAATAGTGATAAAAATTAATACTTTTGTTATAAAAAATGTATTCATAAAAAGTACACTGTTGAATATGGTTGTCTGAATAAACAAAATTGTGCTTTGAAAAATATGTATTCATCGACGTTAAAACGATTACGCAATATAATTTAGTGTATATCATTTTTGCTATATTCAACGTCAAAAACAACCAACATCTCCGACAATCAGTACGAATCCGTAGTAAGCTCCATCTGTTGTTATACTGAATGCAACTATTTTTATCGTGCAATACTTCCCACTTCCGGTATGTATTATACTATTACATACGTAAACCAGTTACATTAAGTTAATTCCATTATATAAGGTTAAAGCATTTCTTTTGCAGCTCGGTGTGTATATTTTGCTAACATATGATGATCAAAAGCGATTGGCCAATGAAAACTGCCGTTACAACATAGACGTATTTATAGATCATATACATATCGATTTTATTTTATTTAAACACACATTGCTAATCTATAAGAAGATATTCGGTCAAACCTATGTGTGTAATGTTGAGATTTGTTACAGCATACACACAAAGCGACATCCTTATTGTGTAGTCACCCCTTCTCCTACATACATAATATGATGACTTACAACAACATACTTACCCAGCCAGTCCAAAAGAGGGAAGTAAGCCCCACCCATACGTTTGGACTTCGGTTCAGAAGACTTGAGCACGATTTTTGCTGTTTCTGGATGGCATACGAGAATAAGTGGAAAGAAAAACATCATCCATATCGAGACCATGCGAGTTTTTGTTTGCTCTATCAACTTAAAGCAGATGTTCGTAAATTCGTCAAAATCTGCACCCTGAAATGGTAATATATTCATAAAATAATTTAAGAAAAATAGGAAAATAAATAGCTGTGGTATACGAGTTTGTTTTTCTTGAAATATGCAACCAATAGAAGTTACTGTGATTGCTTATATTTTACAATTTGTTTAGTAGTCAGTGATGCTTTTAAATGTCAGTCGAACTTTATGATATATATATATATATAGATACATATATACGCAATAATTAAAAAAAAATGGATAGCTGGATGGCTAAATAGCTGGCTGACTGGATGGATGGTACGGTGGGTGAATGAATGGATGGACTTAAATTTGTTATTTATGCATATTTTTGTGTTAAATGTATATATTTTCATGTTATTAAGTTCACGTCTTTGCAAATAATAAAAAAAAGGTTCACATACTAGATGAAGATGACCCCAGAATGGATGAAACTTCCCTGCTGGTTGGATATTCTTCTGATTGTATAATTTTATCAGACCTTTGTATCTGTTCACCATTCCAATGACTTTCCAGATACATATAGCCGCCAGCAGTGTACCGATGATAATCAGATAAAGATCCATAGTCGGTTGAGAATGACACGACAACTGAAATTAAAGGAAGATCATATTTCCGATTATACCTCAAAGAAACGTACGACACATACCTATTTAATCCGTTCACTGCCATTATATTAACCCTTAAACACATTACATATACGTAATCAATAAAAATCCATGGAGCTCCTTTATAATCACATATCATCCAATGACAAATTCATAAACCAAATGTATAAATGTTTTTCCCAAATCACTGAAATTCGAATCAGGTATCCATTCTTTGTATGAACTAAATGAAGACATCTTTTACAAAGCCATTGTTTTATTTCATTACCTACTCAAAACGGTCTTTAGAGTGATAATTAATAATAATAATTGGAGGTTCCTATATACCGTTTTATCACAACCTAGTTCGTAGCTCGCCTCAAAGCGTTTCACATTTTTTTATCCGTGGTTATAGGGCCTTTGCAACAAGTCAGTACATTTCTCAACTCCATGGGGAGCATACAACCGGAGCTGCCATTTCGGCGCTAACAGCTAGCATTCAACCATTCTAGCACTGCCCAACCACGTACTCATTTACAGCTGAGTAGACTGGAACAAGCCCGACGTCCTACCACTGGACTACCATGCCTCCTAAAATGGAGACCCTGGTCATTATATAATAACAAATGGATATTCATTCCTTCCTTTCTCTATGTATTTGAAATCTACAGTTTCAACGATTACTTTATATATAATTACTTCTGATGTCATCGAACTCTGATAAAAATGACGTTTTTTTTTCATCAGACACTTTATAACAATATTTGATCAATAATGTAATATACATGTATAAATCACAGAATATCAGTTAAACAATACTATGTACCTACCCTTCTGGTGAATAGCTTAGCTCTTGAGTGAAACTGATTAACTCCTTTGTTCAGAATTATTTACTTTCGACTGAGTTCATTTCAAATGTATGTTCTTGTGCAATACAGTAGTCGTGTTTCAAAACGATCTAAATAATGACCTTTGTCAAACAACTGTCCAGTAGAATGAGGATTACTGCAGGGTTGACCTGAGACATTTAAAATGTAGGCGACCAGTTGTCGAACGTTCAATTCACTTATGAACTAACTAAGTGAAGAAGAAAATGAGACTTATTTGAACTACTTCCAAACATCCAATTCACCAGAAACACAACCATAGATTATGAACCTTGCTCCAGTGTCTATACCGATAAAATATATCAGTTGATTTATGTTCCAGTCTGTATGCTGATAGTAGACGGCCAAGCGCAGTGCTAAACACACTCTGTACACGTAGAAAGATTAACTATCGGTCTGTAGTACAGGTAAGGAGGTCACGTACTACGGGCACCTGTTTTATCTGTTGGTGAGGATGGACCAGTCCATGCCTTGTTGACCGTACAACGTCCACGTTATTCGGTAAGTTGATAATGTACACAAGTGAAATTAAGATTCATAACCTAAACACAAAGACTTATGTCGTTGGTTATTTTCTGTGTAGTAACGATTCAGATACATAAATATTACATAGAATAAAAACAATCGTCTATTTTCTAATTAATACAGTTATTATCATTAATTACAATAGTTTATGCTTATTTTTTTATTTATTTTTTCATAAAAAAAACAATTGAAACATTTTCAGCATTACAGAAAATATTAATTTTCACACTCAGTTTTCATTCTTCAAGCAACATTTTATACACATTTTGTAATGGGTTTTTTAGAGAGAGAGAGAGAGAGAGAGAGAGAGAGAGAGAGAGAGAGAGANGGGGGGGGGGGGGGGGGGGGGGCTGAGAAGACAACAAGTGGTCAAAGTGGTTTAAATTATGGTTAACATACACTAATCATTGTTTTTGTAAGTTGTTATTCTAATAAGCATTTTTATTTGTTTGACAGCGAGGCCTGAGGTTGTGGTGAGCGAGGGGAAGGTACAAGGCATAGGTAGGCCTAATGTGATAAAATCAAAAACAAATTGTAATGAATAATATAAAAATTAATGATAACAACATGACTTATGTGAATTTTAAGTCGATAGTGTATGAAACTGAGTGTGATGTATTGAAGCCAGCCCGAGATAGGATACTGTTTGAGTAGAATAGATCGCAACCCTGGCAGTTCTCCATTTATCAACACGTTGGTGAAATAAAAAAAAGAATATATTGAAAAAAACCACATTTGGATTCTTTGATTAAAACTAAGTCTAGTATTTAAAGGAATCCGATTCTTTATAAAAAAAACATTTGTTTCTTTCGTGAGTATATGACGACCTTTTAAAGCATATGTCCCATGATTCTTGTGCAAGTCGGGAATCCTATGCAGGTACAGTAAATCTGAGACGTCATTCACACACCACTTTAATTGCAAACAGATATAATTAGTTTCCATCTCGTATATTATAGCTGCTGAACAATAGAATACAACAAACTGAGTTCTTGACATTATGTTATTTGTCCCCTTCTATATACTCATCAAAAACGAAAGTTTCTCGATTGATGACAATTTTGATAATCCAAAAGCTCAGCATATACATGGAATTCAGGTTGAAAACACGCCTATACACAAGTAACAATTTTATATATTTATCTTAGAAAGAAAATTATTTTGACATCCGTACAAAACATTCGGACACATTATTAACGCCGATACACACGAAACGGTTCATAAGTCTATCCGAGATAGAAAACAACTGTGACATCTTTATAAAACCTTCTGGTGACTGTCTCTGATGGTATCCGATACGTCAGTGAAATACAAATAAAGAGGGAAGGATCATGTGGTGCATACATTTATTTGAATCTGATTGGCTGAGAAGGTATGTTGTTAAAGTAATTTCGGTAATTCATACACACTACGGCCTTTCTTTCTGCATACGGCCTCATTTTCGCGGAATATTATTGTGACTTTTATATGAGCAATACTGCCTCACACAGTGATGGAGAGAGTATTGCGTATTTATTGTAACATCGTTTGAAATGCTCACTGCCATTTGTAATTTACGGATTTTCATTAAAAACTGTTAATTTATCAATTTGATTAAACAAGAGAATACCAAAGTGTCTTGTAAAATATATATTTATATTGATTGATTACAGGAGTAAGAAAGAACACATGCTCCAAGCAGTTCACAAACGTTTCTCTGTTTGTAAACTGGGACGTTAAACAGGTCCCCGCCATTGGGAGAGCATTCCCAAATAAAATGGACACATTGAGGTTAGTACGGTCGTTGATGATTTGAATGAAATTTCGATTCATCTGGAAGAAACATGGGACAAGCAAGCGGCGGATGTCGAGAGTAGTTATATGTTGGTGAAGAAATACGCTTGATAAGGGTGATTGATAGCATCTTAATCAATTTCTAGTTAATGACTGTGGTCGATTCTTTACCTATTTTGTTGCATTAATTGTCATTTTAGATCAAGAACTGCAAGATTTGCAAAAATGTACTTACTGATTTATTTATTAATTTATTTTCCCATTAAAAAAAAAATGACTTTTTTGTTTTGTATTCAGAAGTCGTTTTTGTTATTTAGTGTATTTAGTCAGTCAAAACATTTATCCAGTAACATAGTTTTCTCCCCTTCCATAGGTGTTCTCTGCTCGAGTATACAGCAGGCCATGATATGCAAATTTCGCATCATTTATTTTCTAGTGCACAATTTAAGTTGATTTGTTTTGCGCAAATCCGTTAGTGTCTAACTTCGTTCGCGAACAAATACATATATTGATTTATAAAATGGTGTGTTCATTTTTTTCATTTCCTGAGAGAGGTGTAAATAAATCTGTCTTTCGAAAAATATGAGAAGTAAGTTTTACGTTTGTAGATGCTACAATTGAATCAAAATATTGATTTCATAATAATAACACACAGGAGTTGCCTTATCAGGCGCTAATTACTAGTCCTATGCCACCTGGCTAACGTCTCCCTATGTGTGTATACCTGCGTGTGTGCTGTAAATGTATTGTTTTCTGATTGTAATGGGACAGTGCTTCCAACGGTATCATTTATAGTGCCACCTCGCTTGAATGCTATAGCAAAGATAGCGCTACCTCAATCACAGACCACTTTATACTCCACCTGGGTTGTTGGAGTTGTGCGGGCAGGGAAAAACACTGTCTCTGAATAGTCCATGCTAACGACGAAGGGTATTGAACCCCGGCCGGCTGCGTGGAAGGCCGGAGTGTTACAATGTAACCGTCTTACCGTAAGGGCCTTTATAAACAAAAGATTGAGAGAAATTTGAGTGATTTTTATTATCACTCAGGCACACTATTGTGTGCAACAAGAGGGCAACATAGAGTACAATATTACAATGATATGGTTGACCGTAAAACACTCATCTTACTATGCAAGCGTACAATAATATAGTGGAAACTAAATTGTATTAAACTCCTCATACAATGATACACAATATTACACTGTCCATACGTTCTATCATACCTTGTTATAATAGAGAATGTAACGCACTGCTCATACAATGACACTCATCATACAGTGATATACAGTATTACTCTTTTTACAATACTATTACAATGTTATAATACACAGCATTACATTCAACCATACAGTATTGAAGATTTTAACTAGACCTTTACTTGACCAAGCGAGTCATATATCAATACAAACGGGTGAATACATTAAAACTGTCAATCATTACGTATCGCGAGTAACTTACCCTTATTTAGATTAAGACGGGCAAAGATTGCAAATACTTGCATTGTCACCCACTGTAAAACTTGGGTCAATCTTCCGTGTGGGCGAATATTCTACGGCAGCCCATATCAGCGGTGGTTTTACAAATAAATCAGTTCATGAATATAAATGCACAGATTACGTACATCGCCAATGTATATTGGTCGAGGGTTGATACTGCATGTGATATGGAAAAAGACATGTTTTATTCTGTTTATTACATACTTACTTTTAAAAACTTCTATCTTGTGATCTTTTTTCTTTTGAAATATTAAAAAACGAAAAAAATCCAAACGGGGTGTGATGCGGATTGATACAGGTTTTGAGGTGTGATACGGTGAGGACTGATACAGGGTTTGGGGTGGGATACGACGAGGGTTGATACAGATTTTGGGGTGGGATACGACGAGGGTTGATACAGGTTTTGGGGTGAGATACGACGAGGGCTGTTACAGATTTTGGGGTGGGATACGACGAGGGCTGATACAGATTTTGGGGTGGGATACGACGAGGGGTCATACAGGTTTTGGGGTGCGATACGACGAGGGCTGATACAGGTTTTGGGGTGCGATACGACGGGGGCTGATACAGGTTTTGGGGTGTGATACGGTGAGGGCTGATACAGGTTTTGGGGTGTGATACGGTGAGGGCTGATACAGGTTTTGGGGTGTGATACGACGAGGGCTGATACAGGTTTTGGGGTGTAATACGACGGGGGCTGATACAGATTTTGGGGTGGGATACGACGAGGGCTGATACAGGTTTTGGGGTGTGATACGGCGGGGGCTGATAAAGGTTTTGGAGTGTGATACGGCGGAGGCTGAAACAGGGTTTGGGGTGTGATACGGCGGGGGCTGATATAGGTTTCGGGGTGGGATACGACGAGAGCTGATATGGGTAAAGGCAATTGTGTCGTATCGCATATACAAAAAACCCGTATTTATTAGTAAGAATGTAATATTACAAAGTTCACAAGGCGAAACCTCACTACAAGGACGAAAGTAAACAAAGTTTACAAGTAAAGAAATACGGGAAAAAAATAAACTACAGCAGTACAAAGTTTGCAACGTAGAATGAAATTCACCCGAAATAGACAACGTTTGCTGAAACAAACGACCGTAACCGAAATAAACACCGGTCGTTAATTTGCAACCCGCCGATAGTAAACACAGTAATGACGGACCATGTGGCACACCAGCGGGACACGTGGAGAGAAAAAAAAACTGGCCGAAAAAGGCACAATTTTTTTTTCAACAACAAATAATTTAAAAAACAAGGGCAGATGGGTATATAACACACAAACTGCGCAATAATTTGTCAAGACACTCAAACCAATCCGACAAAATGAAGTTTTGATATGGAGCTAGCAGCAGGCGCCATAAAAGGAAGAGGAAGGGAGATCACTCCGTGGCTCTGTCGTCAAGATATGGGTTACGTGACGGTAGGGAGTTCTAGATATTTGAATCTTTTGTTTATGGGCTACAAAGATGGGTGAAGGTTTTGTTTATGCATACTAAAGTTATGGTAATTATTACTGAAATGAAAGGACGTTTTAGGGCATATGCGTCTTGTGTGTTTAGTCTTGAACACCGACCTAAGTCATATCAAATAATAATAATAATAATAATTCCAGGTTCTTATATACCGCTTT